CAGAAAACAACTTTCACGTCAACAAACCTGAAACCCTCTGATTACTATCTGTGAGCCAAAGCCTAAACCACTAAAACGCAGCAACCGTACACTTCCTGTCTGCTTTGATCATGGGATTGTGGTGATATTGAGAAAGACCTAAGAGAAAGTTTTATATTCGATTGTTAATGTTTTCATATTTCTGAGTGCTGGAGTCTGTTGCATAACATGGAACAGAAACATTCCTTTTCGCCACACCTTTACTACACACACACACACACACACACACACAGAGACCTGTTCAGAGGAGCTGGCGTGAGGATAACTCTTTTGCTAAATTTATGTGACTCTAAATTCTCAACAAAATGCGTTCGACTTTTATGGCTTCAGGCTCCCTACAGAGGTCCTGTCACTGTTTATGCTGTTGCGTTTAAATCAGGGTTAATCACTACAGTCTGCTGTGTTTACCTTAAATATGTACTCTGGTTTTCAATCATTTGTCTCTCTGTCCATTATAAGATACATAAACACGCTAGACATCTGATTGGTCAGTTGATCATGTGGATGTTACTTCATTGGTCTCTCTCTCTGTAGGATATTACCTGTCTCTTCCACGATGCTCCACACTAAAGCTCAGGACATGGGCTCTGCCTTCATCCAGACACAGCAGCTCAACGCTGCCATGGCCGACACCTTCCTGGAGCACTTGTGTCTGCTGGACATCGACTCTGAGCCCACCATCGCTCGCAACACTGGAATCATCTGCACCATCGGTCAGCGGACACTCAGACATGTATACACACACACAGCTGGATCGACTCAGATTTTAAAATGAATCTTCCACAAGCTGTTACTGCCAACAGCTTTATAATACAGCAGAAATATAACACATTAGCTTCTGTAATCACAGTTCAGCAAATGCTCTGGTGGATTATATGTCATTTAGGTGTTTAATTACTTCAGGTCCTGTCTGATGAGTGCTGCTATGTTTTAGCTGAGACTGGTTTCCCAAACTCTCCCCGTTTGTCATTGTCCTTATCTTTATTGAATTGTTTTCATGTGGCAACAGACACGGGATGTTGAGAAAACGCATATTAAGTTAAAATAGTCCTACTTAGCAGTAAGTGATGGTGCATTGTGTGTCATTTGATCACAGGACCGGCCTCTCGCTCTGTGGAAACACTGAAGGAAATGATCAAGTCTGGCATGAACATTGCTCGTCTCAACTTCTCTCACGGCTCACACGAGGTACATACTTCATTATTTACACACTTTCGTGCTTGTCTTCCTCTCTTCTCTCTCTCTGATTCTCATATCTATCCAGCATTAATTATGCAGTTGATGGATGTATGTCATTCTCTACCAGAAATGATGCTATAACTGTCCATCTGAACGTCTCTGTAGCTCACAGCTTCAGGTTTGTGGGCTGAAAGAACAGTTAAAGCATTCAGTCGGGGTCAAAGGCCACCGAGAGAGAGAGTGTGTGTAACTTAATCTACATTGAGGTTGTTATAAATAGTTTATCAGTTCCCTCCCAGCGGAGAGCTTACCGTGTCTCTACAGTATAAAGGGTGGAGGTTTTACTGCACACTAATAGTTCATACAGGGGCCGCTGGCTATGAGGTGAGCTTCGTAATCACAGTGAACTTCATTTGCAGTTCTGCAAGTTCATGACATGAGCTGCAACTGGAAAATTCGGCTCAAATTTCTGAATGATAGACAGAACTGTGTCATGAATAGAATTCTTTCTTTGCATTTGCTCAAGCGGAAGCAATCTGATCCGGTTCTGGCCTGTTTGCAGCCTGACATGTTGGGAGCAAAAAGGTTAATTTAGGGCAAAATCATCCATTGAGCCAATCATCATTCCGAAAACTGAAGATAAGTCACCGTTCTCAATTTATGAGACATTTTGTCCCTCATGTATTAATTCGTACCTGAAAGCTGACCCTGATGTGACTCCTCTGTTCGAGGGCTTTGGGTTAAACAAATTCTGCCATCTAGCACAAACATTTCACACTCTTAAACAAACAGAATGACCTTGAGTGTAGAGCTACTGAAACGAAAGTGACTAGATTGCGATTAGTACTACATCTGTATGACAGCACTAACGTCAT